GTGAGGAACGGGACGCGAAACAATACACTTATCATTTGAAAAAGAATAATCGCGAAAAGCTGAAAGTAACTTGAAGGCCATAAGGAAATACATTAAGAACAATCCAAGATCTGTGAGGTAACTGGAAAGCTATGTTTAAACTCTGGAGACAAAAATGCGAAAGCCGACAAGAAAGCGAAGAAAGCTCAAATTCTTGCCTTGCGCGGGAACTATCCGGTGATATACCAATTATTTTGTGAATATGTGTAAACATTAAGAAATAATAACTAACATGGAATCTTTGTTTATTTTAGTATATTTGTTCTCCTTCAAATTACACTATAAATTTATTATTTGAATGAACACACAAGAAACACGCCATTACTATACTTAACGTTACTAACAAAAACAGTTATTAGCAGTTTATAATTTACACACATTTCTAATGATTAAATTGAAATTAAACAGTTTTCCTCTAAATTTTGAAATTCATAAAAAAGGTTTTACGCGGCTGTTCTTCTCTGTCTAGTAGTTTAGGTTTCCAACGTTTTGGCCCCTAGCTTCACCGATAAGTCCGACAAGGACGAAACAGCTGTATGATGCAGTGGAATTATCAAAAACTTTAATAAATCTAATTATGAAAAAAAAAAAAATTTGAATATATTTGAAATGCGACGTTTTCCTCAAATAAATATTTGTTTACCGGCCAAAGAGACTGGATATCCCAAATTAGACTTTCCAGACGAAGCGGAACCACTCTATTAGATTTTCCGGCTAAATGACTAATCGTCGTCTCATTTGTGAACCTCGGAGTCACGTACATTGTACTTATAAATGTGTACTTAACCGGACAGTAAACGGATGTCATTGTCAAACACTAGAGAGTCCTATACGTAATGTTGTTTTCGTGTGGTCGAGATTTTTAGATAGTAAATACAAATATTCAAAGTTCGTTTTAAACAAGATTGTATGGTGATTTCGTGGAACGACAGGGCATTTTAAAATTTATATGAGATGTCTTTAAATGTAATACACATATCTTTAACAGTAAAAGCGACATTATAAATGAATTAAAGATAGTTTATAATGTTATAGAAACATCTTCAAGAGAATTAGACATTTTTTAGAAATGTAATAGTGATATCTTTAATGAATTAAAGATGGTTTGAAATGAAATAGAGATATCTCTAAAAGAATTGAAGACATGTGATCGTTAGATGTGATAGCGATAACTTTAAAATATTTTAAGATAATTTTAAATGTAATAGATACTCTTTAAATGAATTAAAGTTAATATTAAATGAAATTGAGATCTCTAAAAGAACCTAATATATCTTCAGATGCCATGGATATATCTTTAGATTTAATGTAAAGAAGACATCTATAAAAGAATAAAAGATATATTCAGATGAAATAGAGATATATTTAAATAAATTAAATAAATCTCTTATCGACTCAAAGCATCTTTCGATGAAAGAGATATCTCATATAATAAGGGTTATGTAAAATATTTTTGTTTCTTTGAGATATCTCCTAAATTAATAGAGACACGCATATGTATTTCGTTTAAGTACTAATTGTTAGCTTAGCTAGCAATACTGGACAAATAATAATCAAGGAAAAATATAATATCATAATATCATTATAGGGGGCCGCGATGGCCAAGTGGTTATGGCGTCTGACATTCTGCGAATATGAGCCTTCGACCACTGGGTCTCGGGTTCGAGACCTACGTGGGGCAGTCGCCAGGTTCTGGCCGTAGGTCGGTGGTTTTTCTCCGGGAACTTTCCCGGACTTTCCTCTGCCAACAAAACCTGGCACGTCCTTTAATGACCATAGCTGTTAATGGGATGTAAAACACAAACAAACCAAACTAGTTACAATTTCCTAAAATTAAATCTGACACCGCAGAAATAATAAATGACAAGATATTTTATTCACAATAGGAACATAGTGTCATAATACTCGACCCTTTCACCCTTATGTAACGTTAGTAGTCTCTAACATGCATTGATCTGGATGAGTCCATTATGTGTTACAGTGGTGAAAGGGTTTAAATGCAGAAATGTATCAGATTTCTGACTATTTTCTATAAATAGTATTTGGGAAAAATAAATAACGTCAACAGGTTACATGTACTTAGCTTTGACCTTTCTTATTGTAATATATATAGGTCTGACGCATGTAATGAAAGTTTGTTTACTTGCACTTTTTCAGTACTTATGTTTATTTCCCTATGGCCTATCAGGTTTAAGTACATTTTAAAGTAACTAATGTTTGTAAATAACATTTGTATTAAGTTAAAGGTAGTGTTTTGTTAATAAAATCATGAAAATAATTTCAACCAACAGAAAAAACTAGCATCGCCGATGAGACTTAGAAAGACGAAACGGACGTATGGTGTATTGCAATTCGTTTTTTGTATACTTTATATATCGCCATTTTTTTTATTGTGCAATCACATGTGTGTGTGTGTTATGTTCGTCTTTCGCTAAGTGTGTGTTTAGAAAAGTTAAAAATAAAAGCTCAAACTGTATATATTGAGATTCATATTTATCCCCTATAGTCAGAAAACACCAAAATGTTTTTTTTAGAATCGGTGTTCAGAAGAGTTTTTTTACAACTTATTTTTCAAAGTTCACTGAAACGTTTTTTAAGCTACCGTATAACGGATTGTTTACGCGAACTCTATTTTTACAATTTTGACCAAAATTAAAAAACAAAATTTTACACGGATTATAAATTCGCGATCAAGACATGTGAGGAACTAAATTTTCGCGGTGTTTTAGCACCGAGACTTGACACTCGGCATATACAGTGTCAAATAGTCAAATGAATACGCTTCATGACAGAATATTGAGCAACAACAAGTAAGAAGTGTATTTTGTTAATTAGATTATATACAAAACTATAAGATTGTGATATAGCATATTGTTAAACAGTATTTCTCTTTACGCATATGAATCGTCATGACCACATCCGCGCTTTTTCATTACGACATTACGGTTTTGAAATTTAATATCGCGTCTCATTTTTACGCTTGTCATATTATTCTGCGGATCATAATTTCGCGATCACGTTATTGACCCGCGAAATCGCGAAAATATCATCCCTGCGGAAATAACCTGCTACACGAGTATTTAGGTCTTTTACAACAGGATAACTGGTATTTTTTTAATCAAATAACATTTTGCAAATACCCTGAATAATCCTATATCAAGAATAGAATCTGGAATAGACAATAATCTGTGAAATAAAGGCAGTCTGTTACTGCCGAGGATAGGAAAATCAACAATTTGATGGCTATCTATACAAGTATTTGAAATTAAGATATGTCGCCTTATTTATGTTACCCGTGGCGCTTCTACCATGATCTGCAGCGTTACAATTCAATCAACAACATAACAATCAAGTATACTCAATGTTAATATTTTATTTTATTATTTAAACGTAACATTATAACATAAAAAATAACAATAATATAACAAAATACCATTATTTAATATATATTTAATTTGGTAATATTAAACAGAAATCTATTGCGTTGCAAACTGTGACTCAACCACATATGTCCAAGAATTACACATTTCATGTACTTCTCTTTTAGCGAGTTTTATATAAGGAAAATATTTGGTTTTAGTAAACTCCTGTTTTAACTTCACTCCATCCAACGATTGCATCGACGAAAGAGAATGCAGTAGTGATACATTATTCAAGAACATAGGTCGTTCTGGATAACTGCTCCGGTCCCAGTATTTTTTATGACATTTTTTCTAATGAAATATTACAACTTATCAGTCAGATAAACCATTTTTTGTCCCCCACTGCAATGAAGATAAACTTAATAGCATATCTTCACTTGTGATGAAAGAAGGTCCAGTGTCGATTTTATATTAACCAATCAAAGTGGGATTTTCTATTCACTGCCACAAATTTTCTGTTCAGTTTAAGCTGAAGCGACGGTATAATTATAGCTTGTTTTTGAACATCTTTGGTACATACACAAAATTATGAATATATTTACGTAATTGTTAACAATTTTGTAAGCAAAACCTACCACAAATTAGTAGAAAACGATATAATTACGTAGAGTAGACCATTCAAAATGGCGCACAGCCATGTTGTCAAGCTTGACGTCATTTGAAACTGGCGTCAAGTTTGTTGTTTTAAATGTAGCAATGAAAGAAAATGGGTTTCCCGTTAAAAACCATATTTATTTCACTGGTCTGGCAGACTTTACTGAAAAATGTCGGTATTCTGCCGTACTCCTGAAATATATATGGTATTCAATGCAAAACCATAAAATATTTTTTCTCCGTGAATCACAATTAAAACCAGACTAAAGAATAAAAGAACAATACGACATTTTCATTGATCAATCATGTCGATTGCATTAATACAAATATTCTTATTGGTGGTTTTTTTTAACATTCCAGTTAAATTAAATTTAAGGAATATTATTGTTCAATAACAAAATTATTCTACAACAATGAAAATAAAATGAAGTCATTTTTCATTCTAGTTACAGTAATGAATATTAGTGTTTTTTAAAAGTTCATAAATCGAGATGGACAAATGGCAGGTTTTGAAAAAATTATTACTTAGAGTAAGACTGTCGTGATATTGTGTAAGTTGGTTATATTTATATCTTGCGTAATTAGTAATACCGTAACTGGATAGATAAACATTTAATTGATATATAATGGAAAAAGTTTTACAAGTATACACACACACCCTCACACACACACACACACCCCCGCAAACACATACACATCACATACAATCCTAATGCCATTTACTCTTCAACACGTAATGCAGACGGGTAGCATAGCATTGCCTTTGTTCTGAGGTTAAAAAAATCAAATATTTATATATTCGTTTCTTGTAGCTATTCCATCTTTGCGTACTGCAGAATTATCTTCTCTTGGGAGCAGGTGTTGATTGTTACGTCACTTGTTTGTGAGTGTTACGTCATCAATTTTTGAGGAAACAACGTAATTTTCTCACGCAAACCAATGACGTAACAATCAATACCTGCTCCCAAGAGAAGATAACTCTGCAATACGCAAAGACGGAATTGTCATCGAATGATTTATAACAACACGGTGGCATTTGCTTTTGGCATTTGATTCGCTTCTTTAAATACAATGTACACAGTCACTTTACTATGTCAAGAAATTTGAATGAAACAATTATTGATAAGAGGATTTTAAAGAGCACATGGTAAATCATTGAAAATGAGTAGGAAACATGAAATTGGCAAGCAAACTCAGCTTTTACTACCCTTAGAGAGTTCGCTCATGTATATTAGAGATGTCACTAAATGAAAAAAAGATCTATATTTTAATGAAGTTGACGATTCTTTTAATGAAATAGTGTTGCATTTAAAAGGAAAAGGAATATCTTTAAATGAATACTGTATACCGAAAAACTTGCGCCAAGTCTAAATTTTCGCCTTTCACCGATTAATCAATATTCGCCCAATGTAAATTTCGCCCTTCACGTTTAACACCGATAAATATTATGTTGTATACTAACATTCGTTGTCATGATAAATGCGCCCTCGTTGGGGAGGTCGAAAAAGGTGACATTTTCAGCAAATATATATGTTATCGATGAAATTCAACAAATTTTGGCATGAGGTACATGTAAGTTCTTTTTTCTATCCAATTTATGGAGGGGGTACTTATCACAATGCTAAAGAGAAAGTTAAGTGCGTCCAGTGACAAGAAGTATATACTGAATATACTTGCTAAAGACGAAAATACGATCGGATGTACCCAAGAGTTTTCGAGCCGTTTGATGTCAAAGGACGAGATATCAATACCTTATACTTACTAGATTCTTGTAAATCAGAATGTCATTTTCAAACGCTCAGCTTGATGAAAAGGGTTCTTCGTTTCCTTCATTGTCTACAGTACTAGTGTAGGGACTCTCTGACCCTACAAATTGTTTTTGTTTTCATATATATTCATATCATGAAGCGATAGGGTATCCCTTATTCATGAACATACTGTTCAGTGTTCACTCTAGCGGTATGTAGTCATAGTCATTCTCGATCGCCTCGCTGTTAGCACAAGATATTTCGGAGTCATTTGAACTTCCATTTGTCACCATTGAAGCCGTCCTAGATACGTAATGGTTCCCAGAATTCACAGAAACATGAGGTAGAGCTTGCCGATGCCTGTCCCGTACGCTACTGTTCGGAGGATTCGATATGGTAGTTGCGTTCTCATATACATGTTCATCACTCACCGGTTCCAGTGCCTCACTGTTAGCACAAGATATTTCGGAGTCATTTGAACTTCCATTTGTCACAATTGAAGCCGTTCTAAAAACGTTATGGTTCCCACAAACATGTGGTAGATCTCGCCATGGCATGTCCCGTAAGCTACTGTTAGAAGAATTCGGCATGGCATCTGCATAATCATATACATTTCCTACCGGTTCCGGTGTCTCGCTGTTAGCACGTGATACTGTCGAGTGATTTGAACTTCCGTTTGTAATGATTGAAGTCGTTCTAGTTACGTCATGGTTACAAGGTACCTGTGGTAGAACTTGCTGAGGCCTGTCCCGTACGCTACTGTTCGGAGGATTCGATATGGTAGTTGCATAATCATATACATCACTCACCGGTTCCAGTGTCTCGCTGTTAGCACAAGATATCGCCGAGTCATTTGAACTTCCGTTTGTAATGGTTGAAGACGTCCTAGATACGTCATGTTTCCTAGTGACCTGTGGTAGAGCTTGCATAAGCCTGTTCCGTAAGCTACTGTTCGGAGGATTTGGTATGACATCTTGCTCTCCCATATCAAGATCATCTGAACCAGTAGTTCCTTCTTCAGTTTGTTGATCGAAGTCTTGATAACCTGCATTATCGTCCTTAAAAGCTGTTTGGACGATTATTATCTCGTGCAATGAGTCCTTGAACTCTTCTGGAGGCTTGGCGATGGCAACGGTTCTAGCACATGCTTCCTTATTTGGACTCTGGTCCAAGTCCAAATAGCCAGGCATATCGCCTTCAAAAGATCTGGCAATTTTTTTGTCATGCAAAGAAGGATTTGAATGACCAAATATGGACGCTACGTGTGTGCGTGTTGATTTCCTTTCTGGCGTTTGTATTGATGCATTTAACGAACCACTGACTGAATTTACGTATGTGCCATCATTGCTATTTGCACACGACACACATAAATCGTCTTGGTTTGAAGATGGAGCTGTTGCAACGTCATTTCTGGTGACACAGGAAGACACATCGGTTGATGGACGTCCCTGAACGGTGTTCTGGTCAATAAAAACAATTGTGTTGACATTGAAATGATCATTTTCCTGGATCGGCACTGGTCTACTCTTTGCACGCTTGGGTCTGGGTGGACGAAGTGGCCGATCGGTTTCTTCCGCAAGAGGAACATTGGGAAGTCTAGTGGCATTATGCTCACGGCTGTCTCTGAATAAGACGCTGCCAGCAGACGGACTGGTGTCTTCTGAAGACATGCTTTCAAATGTAGAGTCGTCAGTGTAAATGAACCTGAAATAGATATAAAGTAATATGTATTTGATGTAGATTATGACGTCAGAATCTAAAGATTCTGTTTGTATTATCGCTTGGTTTTTGTTTTGCTATTTTTACAAGTATATATGTGTATCGAAATTCTTTAACTTTAAGAAGCGACATAAGGCTTATAATAGTATTTAAAAAAAAAAAAAAAAAAAATCGGAAACCGTGAATTACTTAAACATAATGCTTTACAGTTTTCAATAAAACTATTTAATTATCTATTTTCCTTAAACCAGAGGTTACCTCAATGGAGTAAAATTTGTGAATAGTTAAATGAATGAATGAATTAGGAAAAGACATAACGGTAAAGTTTGAAAATCACAAACACTTATCAGATTATTTGTGCACGTATACATGCCTTTTTATCCTCTTCTATTAATTTGAGAAGACAAAAGTTCTGTGGCATCTAAGTCATGATATACCTGTTGCAAAGTACAATATTCTATCGCAAATTTTCAAAATTATAAAAAAAGAAAATTAAAATAAACCACGATAAGATTATCACTCTATCATATAGCTGAATTAGTTAATTAGGTTGGCTTTTTATGACAATATCACAAAGTCCTTTGTTATAGTAGGATAGCCCTTATGAACATTGAATGCCAAGAAATCGTTAAGAGGCAGGCTTTTCTTGGCATTCTAAATTAAATGTTATAAGTCCTTAATCGTATGAATAAACGTGTGGTGACAGTTGTTATGCGTTTCGAACTACCTGATTGTGCATTAGGTAATTTGTTTTTGTCTATTGATTCGGCTCTCAGGTAGAATCCAGAGGAATGATTTAGGCATTGCTAATTTAATTCATTTTGAATGCAAGTGCAGATGTTAATTTTGAATAATTTCCCTTATTTATTAGATTATGGCATAAGCGAAACATTGTTTTTACGCTTAAAGATTCTGTCATCGGATTTTGTATATTGGCTGATTTGTTTTCTAATTCACAATTAGAAAGGGAGGCAAGAAGGTAGGGAGGGATAGAGATCGGTGGGTATATGAATGGGTAGGTAGGTATTCTTGAACAAAGGTATGACAGCTTTCTTGAAATGTTAATGATAATAATTTGGGAAGATGCCCTTTTACTCATAAAAGGTATTGTATGTGTGCTTCTCTTTGTTAATTTAAAAATCAGCTAAGTAAATAAGATAACCAAGCATGACTTGATTGAGGTCCATCAAATGACCACCACAGTTTTTCAATTAACGAGTTATTGTTTGGAATATTTCCTGTTTGTCATTTTTTGCACGGAAGTACTTCGTTGATTTACCTGTTATTAATCTTTTCCAAAATGTAATCTGTAGATGGACGCTTCGTCGAATCTCTATTCCAGCACTCCTTCATGATTTCAAATAACCATGCAGGGCAAGAATCGGGCTCTTCCGGAACCTCACCTCGATAAAGGGTCTCAAGCAGCTGCAAATAGAACGTACACCGTCAAAACCACGGTAAACGTTACATCTAATGCAAGCGAATTAACCCTTTATCCCCTATATAACTATAGTAGACTCAACCATGCATTGATCTGGACAAGTCCATTATGGTCTACAGTTGTGAAAGGGTTGAATATATCAGAAATCCCCAACACTGACAAAATAATAATGCCATTGTTCCCTATTTCGCAGATTTAAACAACATCATAGTACGTGTAACATTTTCAAATAAAAAAAAAGACAGAAGATGTAGGGTACAAGCCGATGGTATCATAACGTCCATTGAAGTTATTTTTTGCAGGGTTTATATTTTGTGACCATTTATCGAGCGTGGAAATAACAAAACAAACAAAAAAACAAAAAAAATGCCGAAGTGTCAACAAAACCATAATTCGAACTCAAAATCGACAAAACTATGAACAAAGGAAAGATTCACATGGGGGCCCTTGCAAAATGACAATGAGAATAAGACCATGTATTCCGGAAGGGGAAGCGCTAGAAACATTAAAAAATGGAAGATTTACAACTATGATCTGCATAATAACTAATGATACTTTCTACCTTTAATAAGAATGAACTTGATTATGTAATTTGTATTCTATGTATGATGGAGTGGGCTATATTTTGAAATACTTGGAGAGGGTTTCGTACTAGAATAAACCATTCCAAATATTTGGTTAGGTTTTATGATTTAGCATTGGTTTGCGACACAATAAACCATCTCTCGTATTATGAAAAAAAAAATTGTCTTAAGGAAACGTTACAAAGATCTATAGGTTTGTTTAATTTTGCAAACGTACCTTTGGTAGTAAAATGACAGCTTTTGTTTGCGGATACAAATAAACTTGTGCATACTGCCACTTAGAAAGTGAAACCGCATCACAAATTATATTCAAGGTAGCAATGCATTGTTTTAATAAGTTTATAGTTCATAGAATAAATCATTAAGAATTGTTCTTCCTATTTTTATAAGAAAACACAGATCTTATTTGATTTTTTTTTCTTGTTTTATTCATAAGATGCAATCCCATGTGGGTGTCTTCCGTCCGTCTTTCATAAAACATATTGATTTTACTTTTTCAGGTTCAACCTTGCAAAACGGAACCGCCTCTAAACGACTGGCTGTGGGATTTGATTTAAACAAGGAGGCGGTAGAATAGAACTGGTAAATAGTCATAGCCATCATGTAGACGTCACTGGCTTGAGAGAACTGACCACTCTGAATCACTTCCGCCGGCATCCTAAAAGAAAACAGGGGATATTATTAGTCACGATGTTACGGGTTTGCAATAATGTAAATTTCTAGCTTTGTAGGACCAATATTGCTTTATATCACAGACCAACAACAGTATATTATTAGAAACAAAGAACAAATAAAATCCAGAGAAACTGTGAACAAGCTACATTTTATCTACGTATTCAAACTTTGTTTGCATGGGGCTTAATGCCCCAATCACAAATCCCTTCCATCATGTTCTTTCCCTGTGCCAAGTTACCAAACTATCCAACAAACTGTTACGGAGGAGTTGCACTTACAAGGTTTTTGGAACAGAAATTTAACTCCATAGGCAAGTTTGAATTATAAATTATTTTCTTCATGTACAGCTACATATAATGTGTATTCACTGTGCAAAATCAACAGACAGTTTAGGAAGAGCTTACGAGATCCATGGACAGACGGACGGTCGGACAGAGTGATTCCTGTATACCCCCGCAAACGGGATGAAGTTTAACAACACATCTATTCATATAACAGTACTGCATTTTAAAGCCTCTTTGTCCAAACATTTGCTTTATTAAACTATTTACAACATCAGTTATACACAAACAGAAAATCCAACGCAAGATGGCAGATACACTTACATGTCCTGCAACCAGCACACATGATACTCATGGAGGCACGTCCTTAAATGATAATAACTGTTAATAGGACTTTTATCAAAATAACACAATCATCGCATCGATGACATGAGGAACCTACCAGTTTCGTCTGTCATCGACACACGTCGATTTGTCGATGATACAGGCCTCAATCCATAAGTTTCTTTTTTCTATCTTTAGCATTCGTCCAACCCGTGGCATGAATACCTAAACAGAGGAAGACAAAGGACGGGAATAATTTATCAGGAAAGTAAAATTATTAAAATAACCATAACGTTAAGTGCTCAAAGATAAAATAACGATATGGATTATGGAATAGATTAATTCATTATTTGTAGAACATTTTCTGTAAACTATATAATATTCGAGAGCAGGTATTTTCAATAATGTGATATACATGTTCTGCTTACGATGACATAATGGTATCGTTTATGGTAAAAATTGTCATCAATAGAGAGAAAGAAAGACTTTAATTTTAGGAAAATAGAAGTGATTTACAGATTTGTGCAGTTTATTGAAAAATAATCAATCGCGAATGTATATGTTGAATTCTTAAAATATTCACATAAAAAGGTCTCCTTATGCTTTTTAGTATTCTTATGGGTCAACTAGTTTCTTGTGGTCTATGTTTCACAGTTCGTGGTGGCATACTTTCAAATAATGTAATTTTTGAAGATATATTTCACTGCAAGAAATGCAATATCATTTTCCAGAGTCAGATTAGTTTTCGGGGTTTCAGGGTATGTGCATTAATCTCAAAACATTGATGCATGAAAGGGAGATTGAAACATTGTCAATGGAAAGAATTTAGAAAGGTTAAGAGGATAGTCGAAAATTTGTTTTTAATATCAATTGAAAAATAAATCGTTTAGGCTTAAAACTATTCAGCATAAGATACAGATATTTTTCTGAGTAACGACATCTACTGTATAAAAAAAAGTTGTACTGACCTTGTCGTGCACCTGTGATCTGTAGAGCGTGGAGCAGCACAAATCTCGTAAAATCCAGCAGTTCTTGTGCATGGCATTGACGAATTGGACTAGCTCATAAACGACCTGCAGGTATGGCATTTCGTTGTCTTCTGGGTCTCCTAAACTACAGGTTGCAGCGATGTTTAATAACGAGTCCGCCCTTTTGCATCGGTATAACTGTAAAATATCGAACATAGACTCATTTACTGTTAATGTTCCTATTTAAGCGCATTCAAATTTTAGTGCACTATCGAATTGCAGCAGATGACCGTATTGATGATTTGGTTCACCCACGATATATGTAACAAAATACAGAAACGTATAGTTGTGCTTTTAAAATAAAGCGCCAAGGAGTACCGTTTATATATACTGCGTTTATAATGTAAAAAATTGTAATAATTTAATATACACATAAAAATATATTGTTTTCTATGCGTCATGTCAAGTTCAACTCAAATGGAATTTTATAGCAAAAGATATACTGGTATATATGTGAAGCAAGCTATCTATTGTTTGATTGCATTTGCCGGATATGTAAAACAGGCTCGAATTCGCAAACCATGTATCATATTCGATATTTTTAACCACTACTCCAATTTTTTCAGAATTTTTATTTAAATATTATTTTATCTGTTAGTTGTTTAATTTCTCTCTCTCTCTCTCTCTCTCTCTCTCTCTCTCTCTCTCCCTCTCTCTCTCTCTCTCTCTCTCTCTCTCTCTCTCTCTTTATTTTTTGAAAATGTTTACCAAAGCATGGGTAAGTCCTTCAGGATTTGTGCAGTCTCGCTTATGGTGTTCTGGAGGAAACGTCGCTATGTGTAAAAGTTCACTCAACGCAAATTTGTTACACAGTTTTGGAAACGTTTCGCCCATGAATGCTTTTGTCACTGGCTCTTCTATTTCCAAGTACAGTCCCTACAGAAGAGAAAAAATATCAATACTACGCTCACTTACATTTTGTATTCATATTCATGTGAGCATTACAGAACAAAATACGTATGAAATGGGAAAACAGGTTTATACAGTGTTTCGACAGGACACTATTTATACCACTTGATTGAGCCTGTTTGCATATATTTGTCCATTGTTAATCCGTATTGGACAATTATTTTGACAGAATTTGCTGTATCCATACATATTAACATGTATAAGGGTATTTTATAAAATTTAATATTTTCACTATGAACGTGTTTTTTTTTGTAACATTTATATTGAATATTGTACGGGAATTTTTTGTTTCATCTTTACCTTTTCTTTAATGATTGGATGGTCTGGGGCTGTAAGGTCCTGCTCCCTGATACAGCACCTCCTTACAAAAGAGGAAAGCCGTCTTTTTGATGCCTTGTTGTAGTAAGACACTCGGGGATCTAAAATGTTTGAAAACACAAAATTTCAATTAATGATCGGTTTGTAAACATTTTGGTTCATGATTGTCCTAAATGCTGAGGATTCTGAATTTCATATCGTATATCAACTATTCCCTACAGCATTGGAACATCTAGTCGACACAAAAGAACAATTAAAAACTGATCCCCTATCTGTATCATACCAAATTAATGTTTTCGTGGATTTTAATTTCGTGGATAAATAAACTATATTTAATGTCCCACGAAAATTTATGATTTTACAGTATATCGAATTTAAGTATCTATGTTAGGCCACACCCTCCAGGAAAGTCAACCAGGGGATAACGAAACAACCAGTGGCACTTACGAACATGATAAAATATCTTTCTTTGTATCGTACGAAGAAATAATATATTACTCATGGCGACCATAAGACTTGAACAAAGAGAAGAGTTTTACAGCCTGCACCAACGAAAGACCCAAATAAACACTTACTTCCTCTCATGTTTTTCAGTTGTTTTAACTGCTCTGTGGATCCCTAAGAAAAGAAATAAAACTTGTTTAATTCATACTTATACATAACACATCTATGACGATATTTTCACTTATTGGTGCTAATGACATAAAAGAAAAAGCAAAATTAAAATATACCATTTTGTTAGACATGTTTGTAAAATTGGATTAAAACAGAAACCCTTAATACTCGAATGGAAAAAACTTATATGAAAACGTGTTTTCTTATGTGAATTGTTATTTAGAAAAATAATTAGATATTCAATAACTTATTTTGAGGAGCACTATTTTCAAAACCGATTTGCAAATGCTTAAATCCTTTCTATTATGAACTTTTATAAGAGACAAAATCTCGACCAAAGTGTTCTTTCTGCTTGAAAAGTTTTCTCTCGTTTAATGGAAGAGTTCTATTTTCAGTACTTTCTCCTCCCATCTGGTTATTTTGATATTTGACAATAAGATCAGGAAAATATAATTATCCAGACAAACACAAATTTGTTTTTTTAGGAAATATCACCTAAAACGAAACAGGTTTTTTTAACTATAGGCCACTGAAAACCATCGGAACTTACTCTTTCTGGTTCTTTCTGGTTAGGGTCCAGCTCCGGATAATTCAAGATCTTGTTAGCAAACGCTTCAATGCTTGATTTTGGTAAATGACCTGTTTCATAATGAAAGCATTGTGAATATTTGTAGTTAAATAGAAAATGCAAACTTCGAAGTTTTACACTGTGCCGGACCATCGGGAAAAGTTCGAAACAACGAGACTTCGATTGTTGAATGTTGAGCTTCGAGCGAGACATTTAAACGTTCTACATGTGGTACAGGTAACTGTTTTACTTCCATTGATTAGTTGTTATTTTCAATGTTTTCCTTACCATCTGGCCTTTATTGTAGTTCGAAACAGCGAGAAGTTCGACTCGTAAAATATTTCTTCATAAAAGGAATATTGGAATATTAGAAGTGTTATAAAATCTGGACTTTGTAGTTCATGTAAGTTCGACAAATCGAGAAATTCGAATATTCGAAGTTCGATTCATGGAATGTTGACCGTATATCTCACAGTGCCAATACACAAGGACCAAATATGTACTCAAAGTCGACAAGATCATAAAAAAACTTAAATCTATGCTAAATGCCATGCTGTCAAAGTGAGAATCATGGAAACGAAACTACAAGGTACACCCATGAGCATGATAAATAAATCGACCTCCATGTCACACAACGAAATAGAAAGATTCCCACAGAGTTGATAGCCACAAATCTTGCCATCAACCTTCATCACTTGAAGCACTATACTATAAGTTTTTTCCGTCTGCAAATAGTGATTGGACATCATGCCATGCTTATGTAAGCTAAATCTTGTTCTACAATCAGTATTTATGTACAATGAGAAAGGACTATTGATAGATGTTTGATAAAAAGTCACATAACCACCAAGAGACTAATGACTTCTTTTTTTATGTTAAGATCATATAGTTATACCTGGGGTTATAATTATGTCTTTGCATGTTGTCGCTGAGACCTGATGTCTGATAGAAAATGGTAATAATGGTTAAACATTTAAAAAAAATATTTCTATTCTATAAACAAATTGTAAATGCAAATCTAACTTTAACTTTACAGTTTTAATTGATATCTTACCATCGCTTTCGTCAGGAGAGGCCATCCAGTTGTTCAATTTCTCAAGGACCTCTTTCGGTTTGATTCGCGAATGCGGCTTGGTTTCAAGACATTGAAGAGTAATGTTGTGTACAGGTAAAGGTATACAGGGCCACCGACGGGGTTTCAGGTCATGGAAAACCACCTTTTTTGAAATCAAGGAACCATAAGTTAGAGTCTCGAGATATGTATATTTTCTTACATTCAAATTTACATGATACTATTTAACATCTCATTTAAACATAGGTCATTTTATATTCAGTATTTATACTGAACTTGTTCAATGCATACGTTGATCCCAGAACGATTTCCTTTCTAGAGCCTTTTCAATATATACGTTAATCCCAGTCTAGAACATGTTCAATGTACATTTTCATCCCAAAACGATTTCCGATTCCTGTGACCAATTTATTCAATGTAAACGTTGAACCTAGAACGATTTCCGATTCCTGTGACCAATTTATTCAATGTAAACGTTGAACCTACAACGATTTCCGATCCATTTCTAAAATCTGTTCAATGTATACATTACCATATCCATGAGGTCGTCGAATTCAAACGCGCACATTTCCGGAAAAGGATGGCATCCATGTGTGAATATCTCGGTCAACAATTGGCCAAGCATCCAGGTATCGGACATGACGTCATAGCGATCATCTATCAGTGACTCAGGAGAGGACCATCGGGTCGGAATTAAATTTCCCTCTATGTCTAAATTCACAAAGAAAATATGTTGTTTTTTTTGCTATTTCAATAATCTTTTTATTAAAACCAAAATTGCAATAAAGGATGCCTATTACTCTGCACTGTTATTTTTTCGTATTAGTTACCACGCCTTACTACCGTATAGAACAGTAGGACAAACACATTACCATTGACCAAGTATGTTCAAATAACGAAGTGCGCACAAAATGTACATGGCGGGCTTTACGTGAATTGCGATAAAAAATCCTCTTTTGCTGAAATGCTTCAGAATGCAATCTCTCAAAATGGTACAAAATCACGAAAATCATAACAAAATTACTGTTATTATTAATGATACTAATTCATCTGTTTAAAAATTGTATTGTTCATTATTGTTCCTAGAACGACGTAACAATTGTACGAGGAGGGACGATAGTCTAGTGGTAGGACGCCGGGCTCGTGACCGAAGGGTTGCGGATTCGAGTCAAGTCACGACACTATGTTGTATCTTTGAGCAAGATACTTTACTCCGCTTGTTCCAGTCTACTCAGCGGTAAATGAGTACGTGTTTAGGCAGTGCTAGAAATGAAGAATGCTAGCTGTAAGCGCCGAAATGGCAGCTCCGTCTGTATGCTCCAAGGGAGTTGAGAAAGATATTGGCTGGTTGCAAAGACCCTATAACCACGGATAATAATTTGTGAACCCCTTTGAGACGACCTACGAACTAGGTTGTGATAAAGCGGTATATAATGACCTCGAATTATTACTGTTATTAATATTATTATTATTCCGTGTAATTTCGTTTAACTTACTGTATATCTAAAAGGTGCAATCACGTGTGTGTGAGTGTTTTACCTCCATCCTTCTTCATTTGATAAGAAAGATATTGTATTATTAATGACGTGTATATTACGGCTACATACCTTGGATAAAAGTACTGGAACCATTCGAACCGTCGTCAATCGCTTTGGCAATACTGAAGTCAGAAAGAACAAAATTTGTGTGTTCTCCTCGGTAACAGAAACTGGAAGCAGTGATGTTTCTATGTATGATCTTCCTTTCGTGCAGGAAATCAACGGCTCTTACACAGTCCAAAGCAATGGATCCAAGGGTTCGGGCAGGCAGCCAACTCCGATCCTTTCGTTCTCGAAGCAAGTACGTACTTAGTGATGCATCTGACAGTTTTTCGGTCATGTAGAACATTGGGATTGCCTGCAAGTGAAACGCAATAAGTCTTTTCATGTTCGGATGCTGTTCAGTTCCAAGAAGGCTTCTCAATACATCCAGAGTGTTGCAGTGCATTCCAGCCTTTTTATCTTTGGCAACACTCTTGTGGTATTGCTGAAGGTCACACGTCCCGTTTGCTGGAAGAAGAACATGGACACTAACCTCTTTATGTCCTGTTATTGTCCCTGACACGTTCTCCCATCTTGGAAGACATTGGCTTTCTAGGGATTCAGAATTTATTGAAAAACTTAGTGGTTCCAAGATGGTTTTCATGTGTGGATACACTTTTTCAGCCAAACAAAACCGACCATCTGCTGCTGCCATCAGTGTAGAAACAGCATTTGCGATCCATTTACGTTTGTGGAACAATAAGCTGTTGAGGTTCTCACGCAGGTCTTGTTTGCATTCCAGACTGACCTTTGCACTTCCGAGGCATTTCTTCAGCATATCAATGCACGTCTTATGAATATTGTCCTGGACCTCATCTCTGTGGTGATCTGGCAACATTCAATACGTAAATTGAATTTAAGAAACAGCAAAATAATGCTGAAACGTCAGCAAAGCCGTTATTTAAACTAAAAATCGATAAAACTTAACCACAATATGAAAAATGGAAAGGTTCACATGAAGACGATTAGAAAGTTAACGTAAGAGGAGAATAAGACCAGGTGTGTCGGAAATGTAAGCGTCTACCGCATCAAATGCAAATATGAAATTGATTATTCTTATTTTTGTTGTAGTAAAAGCATCATAAGGTTGCATTAGAACCTGTAGCTGTTGTTGCTGGCAAGCAAAAGTAACACTTCAAGTAGTAGCAACATATTTCGAGATTAATAACTCAGAGAGGTTTTCCTGATACCATAATGAGAACGAGATAAAATTCCCATTATATAGTCTTGTTGGGAAAACTTTTAAATTATATTTTTAATATATAAGGAATTTTTTTTTAATATATTTTCTGATTGAGCTAGGTAAATAAAAGGCATACAGCGTATAAATATATGATCACGTGTTTTAGCTAAGCGTTACTTGAAAAGTTATTCCCTGGCCAAAAGTGAAGGCACCATTTTAAATATTGATTTCTTCCAACCAACGTACCCTAACACCTCTCTTCTAATGTGACGTCATACGATGCATGATAAACAATTATTTCTGTAACATTTTTCGTGTGTTATTTTGTTTTTGTCACCCTTACCTACAAAAGTCTAAAGGAGAATGGCATTTCATTTGATCATACAATGCAGATTATGGTACAGCTTCTCAAGAGGGTGTTCAATACATGCATTGTAACATGCATTTTTACGTTGTCGTTTTAATAAAATTGGCCATTTACAACCACTGAAATCTTACTGGTTATTATTTACTATTGCATAGCTTTCTGCTTGATTGTCTGGTGCGAACCATACGACATAAATGATTGCAAATATAATTCTTTTTTTTTTTTATATATTTTTATAGATAATATTCTTTTATTATATTCACCGTATCTTAAAATATGTAAAATTATGTTTAGCAATGAATGTTTTAGTAGATGTTGTTATGATCCTGTAACACATATCTATTGATGAAAAACTTAATAAAGCCCGGCGGGGCTTTATGTCAGTTTGTCAGCAATAGAAATGTGTGTTATAGGACAAAAACAATATTTACTAAAATATTCATTTTTTATATAAATTTACATTTGATAGAGTAGTTTAGCCTTATCTAGCTATTTCGATAGTTGTTTGAACAGCAAATTAAGTCTTGACAACAATGAAATTGATGACGTCACAATAGAGATTGATGACGTTACAATAGCAAATGTTGTTAAAGTCTCATAACAGCATTTGCCATACATTTAAAAATAATTATAATTGGTTTTTATATTAATATTATAAACATGTATAACAATATGATGTACTTTGTTGGATGTGATTGTTGAGAAGGCTTGTTATTCCTCTGAACACTACCACAAGTAGAGGATATAGAATATGCCCATCTGTCTTCTTCATCGCACTCTTGATTGACATCAGCGAGGCAAACAGGAATTCCACGTTTTTCTCTATGAGGCGAAGATGAAGCTGAATAGAATAAAACAAAAAATAAATATACATAAATATATATTTTAAAAAAACAAGTTATAACGACTGACTTCAACTCTAGCAGCTTTCACCTCAAATGGTGAACAATAAGTTATCACTACCTAATAAGTATGTTTTTTAGTTGTTTCTTAAAACTTGACAAAGAGTGACACATACTGTCTGAATCATAAGTGTCCATAATAAGGTTACAATATATTTGGCTTCTCATAAAAAGGCTAAATTTTCGGACATTCAATCTGTTAAATGTAAAGTAAAGTTTACGCACTGTGTCTACGATTTCGTCCAGGAACATGATAAGAACAATAAATAATTAGATAAGATCAGTCAAAGAGGCTATGAACACATTTATAAAAGTAAACAATGTCTAAATATTTCCGTCGAAATTTAAGACTTACTAAATTAAAATGCTTACAATCATCCGTATAAGGTCGATCATTAAATCTCACTTTGGCTTTAAAACACAAATCTCTTAAAAAAAGTATTCATACCATTACTAAATGCTTAATAAAAGTGGACTGATAGGTAGTGACAGGTAGTGACAGGTAGTTATAGGTAGTGAAAGGTAGTGACAGGTAGTGATAGGTAGTTATAGGTAGTGATAGGTAGTGACAGGTAATGATAGGTAGTGACAGGTAGTGATAGGTAGTGATAGGTAGACCAACTTTCTGCACAGTACTCAATTCATCCTCGTTATCCAAGTGTTACGCTCACTTTCGCTCTCTACACCCCTGGAATATGTCATAGCAAAATTGAAGGCACTAAGACAGCTGCTTGATTGGTCTCAGGTAAAAAAAACACCTGATCAATCGCTAGGCTTATGCCTATCATTTGAAGGTTACAAAGGAGAGACGACCGACATCAAAGCCTGTCAATTTGTACCGTTACGTGACCGCGATATTTTTTGATGTACCATCAAAGGATCGAACTAGTCTTCTTGACTCATCAACAAGGTGGCGCACACTGAGCCTTCAATTTTGCTATGATATGTTCCAGGGGTGTAGAGAGCGAAAGTGAGCGGAACCCCTAGATATTGAGGATGTACTCAATTATGCTTCTAACTAATGTGATGAACAAATTTATTACCGGCATATTCATGAATATGTTTAGCTTACATGTAAATTCCGTAAATGTTCGCCTTAGGTTGTTTTCTATGTACGCCCATGTGTGTTCTGAGTTCATTGCTAGTTTAATATTTTTGTATATGTATTATATTATATGCATCATATGTATATACATGTAAAAATCTCCTGAATTTGTTGATGTCATGAAACGAAAATTTGCCGTTCATATTAACAGAATGTGAACAATTCCTTGTCGTAGGTTAATGATTATTAATAATAATTCGAGGTCCTTATATACCGCTTTATCACAACCTAGGTCGAAGGTCGTCTCAAAGCGGTTCACAAATTATTATCCGTGGCTATAGGGCCTTTGCAATTAGCCAATATCTTTCTCAACTCCCTGGGGAGCATACAGCCGGTGCTGCCATTTCGGCGCTTACAGCTACCATTCTTCAATTCTAGCACTGCCCAACCACGTACTCATTTACAGCTGAGTAAAATGGAACAAGCAGAGTAAAGTATCATGTTCAAAGAAACAACACAGTGCCGTGCCGTGACTCGAACCCGCAACCCTTTTGTCACGAGCCCGGCGTCCAACCAATAGACTACCGTGCCACCTTAACATTTGAAATACAATGTAAAAAGTCCTGTAAACATTGGCTGTCGCCCCTACTTTACAGACAATTGTTTATACAAACAAGCAGACTATAACTTGATGTTTTTATATGGTATCTGAATTGAAAATAGATAATAAGAAATTGATACGTTTACAACACGCTAAATACGTCTGTTAGTTTACGTTAGGCTTGATAACGTTTTCTAAAGCAGTTGCGACTCCCACGCAACCGACGTGTACTTGTCTTATAGAGTCAAGTGTGCCCGTAAATTACCTACCAAACAAATACGTCACTTCAGAATGTCTAATGATCGTGTAAACCCGGATATGTGGTATAACTAAAATATCAACGACTACAGAGAATGGAAAAGTAGATTATATGACGAAATATGAGCATATAATTCAGTACGAAGCATGGTTTTTCATTTGACTGATTCAGCTCAGGAAAATATAACGTGTTGATAAATAACACCAGCGGTGAAATAATTTTATGTATGATGCTTCAATGACAAGCATGATACGTATTCTGCCACCTTCATCAGAGAAAGATGTGTAAATTATATGCGAGTTGGCAAAACAATCGCCGTCGATTCGGCAATGATATAAGCTTAATATCGGCAACACTCACAGCTGAACGATTTGGCTGTGTTTTAAAAAGGTTACATTATTTAATGACATGTTCAAAACCTCAATCAAATTTATAGATATCCATATGCCTTCAGGAAAGTTATCTGCATTCTGCCTTGCTAGGATGAAGAGTTGTTAAAATAATTGTATTTTACCCGCTTTCATGGTCACAGGGACAAAATCGAAAAAAAGACTTTATCTACAGATTCATAAGTTCTATGGTAACTGTTGTTTTGCCAGTAACTTGTGGGTATGAAGTGATATCACGTTTTTCCTGGAATTGTCGACTTTCTAGGACAAAAACATGTTAACTTTTAACAAAACAGCAAAAGAAAATATCTATAAAAGGTAGATTAATAGTTGATTTGAAGCTTGGTGATGAGAAGAACCACAACAGTCTTAAAATGATAGCGTTGCTCCACTTTCAAGTTTACATAATTTAAATGGTTATTGTGCAGTTTGCGAACATTAAAAACTTTTTCAAATATAAAAAAGGGATATAATTTGGAGTAAGCGTTCATACACATTTATTGTAGTGCATGGGTCAAGATCGTGATTGATATAAATAAATGGATGAAAGGCAAATACAGCCGTGTAAAACAAGTGCAGTGGGATACGGCATCGAAAATTCGGCTCATATGTAGTGGACTAAATATACATTTCGTGTTTTGTATGTAAACATAAGTTGTCGGTTTCAGTAATTTAACAAAACAAAGTGAATGCCTACCTCGATGATGAGTCTAATGATGAGTGAATAATGTTCGAATACTGCCATCTTCATCAGACTTCTGCCTATCTTTGTCCGACAACTTTCTTTCTGAAGTTCGTCTTTCCAGCTGCCAATCTGCAAACGATTTGCCTTCTTACCGGTCATGACCTTTTCTAGTCCACTGATCATCGTTTTCACGGCGTTGAGTAAGTACAATTCCGTCTCGTTATTCTGTGGATATTCAATTTCTTCAAGCAACACGAGAAAGTTCTGAATTCTTGTCCGTACAATTTCCGACACGGAAGCTTTATCATGATGTGATAACAAAAGATGATGTGACAACGCCAACATAACTATCACATTTGGCAGAGTGTTGAGAAGAGTATCTGAAGAGGCTGCCCTACGCCTGACTACCCCTAGTAAGAGGTCAACGCTTTCCAATAACGCTTCTAAATTGTGTCTCCCTACCTCAGTTTTAAATAGAATGTTCTGTATTTCTCTTGAGGTTCCTCTTTCGATGCCGTTATTGTAGCAGTCAGAGAGAATGGAGAGTGCTCGTAGGTCAATCTGGGAGACTGCTGAGGGGATGGCGACAGCATGAACGTGTTTAATCAAGTCCATGACTAACGCTCTTTCGCCTGTGTTTATGTCTTCAACTATAGTTTCCGCTCTTTTGTTGTAAACATCTGTATGATAAACCATTGAATAAGTTATAATTAAAATAATTAAAATAATTCAAGGTTATCACAACCACTTTATCACTACCTTATGAAAAGATTCTTGTAACACAACCAGTAAGTGTTTATATGTGACGTTACTCTCATACCTTCATCAGAAAAATGACCAGTGTAGCGTATGTACACAAAGGTGTTAAATGTGTACGAGTTGTCCACAAATCGATGTCGATTCGGCTACGCTGTAAGCGTATGCACAATAACTTGTAATATATTAATTGAAATGACCCCAGTCAGTTACGTTTTGTTTAATATTGGTTATAGATGTGCGAGAGTCTATTAGCCCCCTCATCTCGATTAATAACTGGCTCTTTTCATAATCCAACCCGAAGAAAATGTCTAGTTTAATCACAACCTAGTTCGTAGGTCGACTCAAAGCCGTTAACTCCTGGGGCTCATACAGCCGGTGTTGCCATTTCGGCGCTCACAGCTGGCATTCAAAAATTCTAGCACTGCCCAACCACGTACTCATTTACAGATGAGTAGACTGGAACAAGCGGAGTAAAGATACAACACAGTGCCGTGCCGTGACTCGAACCCTCAACCCTTCGGTCACGAGCCCGACGTCTTACCGCTAGACTTCCGTGCCTCCTGACATACAGACATATAGATTGTGTGTTTATTCTCCTAAGTTATCGAAAGCGATACATTATCAGTGAATCATTGCAAGAGAAAATAATGTCTATGTGGAATTTCGACTATTCTTCCAAATAGTGTGTGTATCAAAGCACCCTAATACTTTCAGATTCTTTTCGCTATATGTTCACTTATTTATGTTTGAGATATGCCCAGCAGTTTATCGCGATGATTAGAGTTTTCAAACAAAAATCAAAAAAAAATCTGGTTTATAAAAAAAGACATTTAGACATTTTCAATGCTAAACATCATCTTTATCTATGTTTGCGGGAATATAACCCGCCATGAGAGATAAGTGAAATGCGAAGTTAAGTCACGATATATTATATTTTTTTTACATTGTAATGTTAAAATATATTAAGTATTTGAAATATAATATTGATGAATAAGGTCTTGCATCGGTATGCTGTGACCTATACTTTTTATCCTTATGCAAACGTCAATCGCAATTACCTGTTTTATACTGTGTGCATAAAATGTTTTAATATTAATTTGTTGTGATATACAATGAATACGTTTTATTTATTTCGCATCAGATGTCAGTGACGTTAGTGTTTATGTGACGCCTTATTTCAAAAAAAATAATTTAAAATAAAAATCTCGACGTGAAAAATTCACAATGCTCAGAGTTAAAATGTTTCTTGACGTTTATTTGCAAACATTTAAAAAAAAAACCACCATAAAACGCCACAATAAAGATACGTGTATCACCGCAGAATCTCTCTGAAAAGAGTTTGGTCCAAGAATGCACGAAAGTTTTTAATTTATCGTTAAAATCATCTTTATGTAACTTAATTAAAGTATAATTAAGAGGAATACCGAATTGGATTTTTTAACTATCAATTTTATGCGAAAAACAAATTACACATCAAATAAATGAGTCTGTTTGTTACTTACGAAATGGAGAGCAGAATTCCTCCAGCGCTTCACCTCCATTTGCCAGATTAACAAGTTTTTCTCGTTTACACGTCGATAAAGATTGATAAGGGTTCTGCTCATCTTTGTTTCTTTCACGTTTTAATCCGTGATTTGCTTCATTGGTAATGTCCTTCCGGCTTTGAACTGTCTCTTTTACCTCTGTCTCGTCTTCAGATGCATTTGAATTGCTTATTGAACTGACATGTGTACTTTTTCTAAAAGTTTCGTCGTTAGAATAGAACGGATATGAACATGATTCGTATATACCTGACGAATCTTCATTTTGATAAACTTCGAACGTATTGATAGATGTGTTCATCGTGTCCATGTTTCCTAAACTAAAGTCATCGTACAGACTTTGCTTGCGCAAAACATCTAACGCTTTGTCAAGAACTTCCTGACAGTAGTTGTGGGAGTCAAGATAAACTGATTGTATACCCGTCGGCAATGCCAATGTCCTACTGGTATAAACGATGACAATCCGACTTGTGATTTCTGGTTCCCAGTCACTTATTACGTTCAATATGTTTTCTCTAAAATGATGGCAAACTAAGAATACAGTGCAAAGGACATCCTTAAGTGTGTTCTCCACAATGTCGATATTAGCGTTGTCATTTTGAAATGGGAGCTCCAAGGATGAAAATGAAACTTTTCCCGATAGATGAGATTGAATGGCGAGAGACGATTGGTTCTGGCAGGTACATGCGACAATTCTGAGATCCTCGTTGCTGCGATATCTGTTGTAAGCGGATATTTGACGATGTTCGTCTATTTCCATCTGAAAAGAAAAATGAAAATATATTGTTAATTCAACTCAGTTTGATAACGGCACTTCCATAACATAATTCTATTCTTCATTCTGTAAAGACTGCAAAGAGAAGAAAGTGACAATGGTATTAATTGACAAAGAGTATAAATAGTAACAAAAAGGTTAGAGATTTTATATGATATATACATGTATACATATTACATATATACATATGTACTGTTATATGGGCAAAGAAATAATAACACAAGTTCAGACAGAAATTTATCAAAATTTAGCGCGATTCCGCCCCTTTTTTCAAGTACAATAGAGATAACAATCACTATGAAACAATTATTCAGCAAACGATGCATAAACAAAAAAAACAGTTTTTATTTATATGAAATATGATGCTGTCATTGCATAGCTCACCGAAGAGCTTGTTACCGAAGGCTAATGATTACGCAAAAATCATCTTGAAAACGTGAGGTCGAGTGAATTAATATAAAACAAATCTGAATAAATCCAGTAACGAGATTCTATGTTGTAGTTGTTTGTGTACACACAGCATGAAAAAGATAAATATATACATATTGGTCGAACAAATGGACAGTAATACCTAAAGTATGCTCGACTTTATAAGAAAACATCAGTAAAAGGAACATGATAACGCAAAATGTATTAACTGTCAAGGTGCTAATGATACGTCTTACTTCACTTTAGAATTGTGTAATGTGCTAATAATACATCTTACTTCACTTTAGAATTGTGTAATGTGCTAATGATACGTCTTGCTTCACTTTAGAATTGTGTAATTTGCTAATGATACGTCTTACTTCACTTTAGAACTGTGTAATGTGCTAATAATACATCTTACTTCACTTTAGAATTGTGTAATTTGCTAATAATACGTCTTACTTCACTTTAGAATTGTGTAATGTGCTAATGATACGTCTTACTTCACTTGAGAATTAATTGAGTAATGTGCTAATAATACGTCTTACTTCACTTTAGAATTGTGTAATGCGCTAATAATACGTCTTACTTCACTTTATAATTGTGTAATGCGCTAATATTACGTCTTACTTCACTTTATAATTGTGTAATGTGCTAATAATACGTCTAACTTCACCTTAGAATTGTGTAATGTGCTAATAATACGTCTTACTTCACTTTAGAATTGTGTAATGTGCTAATGATACGTCTTACTTCACTTGAGAATTAATTGAGTAATGTGCTAATAATACGTCTTACTTCACTTTAGAATTGTGTAATGCGCTAATAATACGTCTTACTTTACTTTATAATTGTGTAATGCGCTAATACGTCTTACTTCACCTTAGAACTGTGTAATGTGCTAATTATACGTCTTACTTCACTTTAGAATCGTATAATGTGCTAATAATACGTCTTACTTCACTTTAGAATTGTGTAATGCGCTAATAATACGTCTTACTTCACTTTATAATTGTGTAATGCGCTAATATTACGTCTTACTTCACTTTATAATTGTGTAATGTGCTAATAATACGTCTAACTTCACCTTAGAATTGTGTAATGTGCTAATAATACGTCTTACTTCACTTTAGAATCGTGTAATGTGCTAATAATACGTCTTACTTCACCTTAGAATTGTGTAATGTGGTAATGATACGTCTTACTTCCATTTAGAATTGTGTAATTTGCTATTGATACGTCTTACTTCACTTTAGAACTGTGTAATGTGCTAATAATACGTCTGTGTAATGTGCTAATAATACGTCTTACTTCACTTTAGAATTGTGTAATGTGCTTATGATACGTCTTCCTTCATTTTAGAATTAATTGTGTAATTTTCAAATGATACGTCTCACTTCACTTTAGAATTATGTAATGTGCTAATAATACGTCTTACTTCACTTTAGAATTAATTGTGTAATTTGCTAATGATACGTCTTACTACACTTTAGACCTGTGTAATGTGCTTATAATACGTCTTACTTCACTATAGAATTGTGTAATGTGCTAATGATACTTCTTTATTTACTTTAGAATTGTGTAATGTGCTAATAATACGTCTTACTTCACTTTAGAATTGTGTAATGTGCTAATAATACGTCTTATTTCACTTTAGAATTGTGTAATGTGCTAATAATCCGTCTTACTTCACTTTAGAATTGTGTAACGTGCTAATAATACGTCTTACACCACTTAAGAATTGTGTATTGTGCTAATACTACGTCTCTCTTCAGTTTCTTATAATACGTCTTACTTCACTATAGAATTGTGTAATGTGTTAATGATACGTCTTACTTCACCTTAGAATTAATTGTGTAATTTGGTAATGATACGTCTTACTTCACTTAAAAATTGTGTAATGTGCTAATATCACGTCTTACTTCACTTTAAAATTAATTGTGTAATTTGCTAATAATACGTCTTGCTTCACTTTAGAATTGTGTAATGTGCTAATGATACGTCTTACTTCACTTTAGAATTGTGTAATTTGCTAATGATACGTCTTACTTCACTTTAGAATTGTGTAATTTGCTAATGATACGTCTTACTTCACTATAGAATTGTGTAATGTGTTAATGATACGTCTTACTTCACCTTAGAATTAATTGTGTAATTTGGTAATGATACGTCTTACTTCACTTAAAAATTGTGTAATGTGCTAATATCACGTCTTACTTCACTTTAAAATTAATTGTGTAATTTGCTAATGATACGTCTTACTACACTTTAGACCTGTCTAATGTGCTTATAATACGTCTTACTTCACTATAGAATTGTGTAATGTGTTAATGATACGTCTTACTTCACCTTAGAATTAATTGTGTAATTTGGTAATGATACGTCTTACTTCACTTAAGAATTGTGTAATGTGCTAATATCACGTCTTACTTCACTTTAGAATTAATTGTGTAATTTGCTAATGATACGTCTTACTACACTTTAGACCTGTCTAATGTGCTTATAATACGTCTTACTTCACTATAGAATTTTGTAATGTGCTAATGATACTTCTTTATTTACTTTAGAATTGTGTAATGTGCTCATAATACGTCTTATTTCACTTTAGAATTGTGTAATGTGCTAATAATCCGTCTTACTTCACTTTAGAATTGTGTAACGTGCTAATAATACGTCTTACCCCACTTAAGAATTGTGTATTGTGCTTATGATACTTCTTTATTTACTTTAGAATTGTGTAATGTGCTCATAATACGTCTTATTTCACTTTAGAATTGTGTAATGTGCTAATAATCCGTCTTACTTCACTTTAGAATTGTGTAACGTGCTAATAATACGTCTTACACCACTTAAGAATTGTGTATTGTGCTAATACTACGTCTCTCTTCAGTTTCTTATAATACGTCTTACTTCACTATAGAATTGTTTAATGTGCTAATGATACTTCTTTATTTACTTTAGAATTGTGTAATGTGCTCATAATACGTCTTATTTCACTTTAGAATTGTGTAATGTGCTAATAATCCGTCTTACTTCACTTTAGAATTGTGTAACGTGCTAATAATACGTCTTACCCCACTTAAGAATTGTGTATTGTGCTAATACTACGTCTCTCTTCAGTTTAGAATTGAGTAATGTGCTAATAATACGTCTTACTTCACTTTAGAATTGTGTAATGTGCTAATGATACTTCTTACTTCATTTTAGAATTGTGTAATGTGCTAATGATACTTCTTACTTCACTTTAGAATTGTGTAATGTGCTAATGATACGTCTTACTTCACTTTAGAATTGTGTTATGTGCTAATGATACTTCTTACTTCACTTTAGAATTGTGTAATGTGCTAATGAAACGTCTTTCTTCACTTAAGAATTGTGTAATGTGCTTACGATACGTCTTACTTCTATATATAATTTTGTTATATGAAGGTATTCTACGTAAAACACTTAATAAATATGTCGTCAGAACACCGCCTACACCAGCATTAGCAAAGAAGAGTACACAATACTGCCTCAAATTTATGGGGTTTAATTTTACAGGCGACTGAGTACAAAAGGATATTTTTCCCAAAATTCCCATTTTATATTTAACGTGGAAATCCGTCATCACATGATTTGGAAGAATTGTTTACGTCATCAAATTGTAAGACACTAGTGATTCACCACGGGCTTACTCGCTTCAGTAACGGTTGAGAAAAGGAAGAGAAAACCGCAGAGTATGACCTTTCTGCACATTATCGTGTCAAATATTACAATGAATAGGGTATCGTCAGTACACAATTTTTGATAACAACATAATTTAACTTGATGTATGAGTTGTTACACGTTCATTCTAAAATATGACATGTGCATGAACGTTGTATAAATCGCTCACCTTTTACTTTCAATGTACTACAGTTAGTGAGCAGTGCAATAGTTTAGCTGTACAAAACTTCCACAGAGGTGTTGAGAAATAATTTAACTGTTAATATTTGATTATTTATAAATCAAAGTATATTATCATGATGTGTTATTGGACCTGATAAATGAGTCAGTCTTCTGCAAACGATTTACAATCAAAGAAACCTCCAAATCATCGCTTTCATGTTTCCATTATTTAACTATCATGATCCGTAGAAGGCTAAGTAAGTTGTCAGAATATTTACCTGCTCCTCTTGTAATTATCAATAAAATATGTTTGAAGTAAAACCATAGCTCCTCTTCATAAAATCAATGCTAATATATTGCAAATTAAACTTCTAGATTGGATAAGATATTTATGTCACAGAAAATAACAATTTGGTTTTTATATCTGCATATAAAGTTCGTAGGTCGTCTAAAAGCGGTTCACAAATTATTAGCCGTGATTATAGGGCCTTCGCAACCAGCCAATACCTTTCTCAACTCCCTAGGGAGCATACAGCCGGAGCTGCCATTTCGGCGCTAACAGCTTACATTCAACAATTCTAGCACTGCCCAACAACGTACTCATTTACAGCTGAGTAGACTGGAACAAGCGGAGTAAAGTATCTTGCTCAAGGAAACAACACAGTGCCGTGCCGTGACTCGAACCCGCAACCCTTCGGTCACGAGCCCGG